TGATCTAGAGGAATCAAAACAGGGTAGAAAAAATTTGCATTGTCTGTTTTGCTGTAACCTTACATGCTCCTACATGGCTTTGCCCATCCAACTGTTTCTGTTGGTTCTGTGTTAGTCTTTTCAGTCAGTAGTTTCCCATTGGAATGTTGATGCAAATGGATTTGATTGCTGCTGGTCTGAATATGAAGCATATAACTGAGTTATAAGCTTTGCTGATTTGCTTAAGTTCAAGGCCACTTATCTTCAGAATGGCACTTGAACTATAAAGCATGTTTTATTTTCTGTAAGACAGAACAATACTTTTTACCAAGCCCTACCATAATTAGAAGTGTGGCAGCCCACATAGTCATGAAGCTGTGATCGTTCTGAGTTGTTTGCTAGTAATACAAATGCCAAGCATTTTTTTACCTCTAGGCTTTTCTCAAGGTTAGTAAAGAAAGCTCAAGTCCCTATCTGTACAAAATCAAAAACCAGAAGCATTCTCTATTGTAATCAATGGCAAAAATAGGTAAATCTGCATATAAGAGTAAGATCATTATAGTCAAACAGCAAGCTATGTCCTTAACAGCTCCTGGAAGAGCAGCCCATAAGAGCAGCCCATCAGCACATTAAGCTGTTGCTGCTGTAAATAATCGTGACATGTCTTAATGTTAACATGTAGTAGTTGAACTGAGATTCCTAAAACTTGAAATAACAAGGATGGGATATGGCAGCTTTCCCCCTCCAGGTGCTTTGCAGCAATAAGGAACACGTTCTCACACAGCTTCAAAATTCTTTCCATGTTCCTTCTCCTCCAGTTATTATCTGTAAGGTACAAAATGCTCAGTGCAGATGTACACCCTTGCATGCATGCACACACAAATATTGCTTAATAAAAATTACTGCTTTGCATAGAAGGCTTCTGGAAAGTCAGATTCCTTCCAGTCTTTCACAAGGTACTTTGTTTTAAATTCATATTCAATAAAGCAGTAAAGAGTAAAAAATAAAGAGTGCTGAATGAATAACAGTCTGTAAAACCTTCTCCAGTTAGAGGGTGTAAATACTGCCTGCTTTTAGTACTGCATGTGATACAGACAGCTACTCCTTTCCCCGTGCCCTGGGGATCCTGTGTGTGCTCCTGTTACACTGCTGAGGAGGGGAAGCACAGACTTCAGTCTGTGTTCATGATGTAATTTCAGTAATTAGATTATAGCAAAATATTAAAAAGATATTTCAAATTTCTCACATGAGAAGCTTTTTATGTTCATCTCCTAAACCCGGCAAATATATGCAGACTTCCTTACATAAAATACAGAATAGAACTATCAAGGCTCTCCCTTTTTTATGAATGCAGACTAAAGAACTGTGTTGAATAGTGAGAAAATTTGGGACTTGTAGTTTTTGAAAATTAGTAGGTTTTCAGATGTAGAAAACATGTAAAGGGTATCTCCTACATAGGCAGCAAGTGTATGCATATACTTATGTATAGCTACATAAGTAATGTTTCAAAAATACATCACCTGGGAACATATAAACTCAAACAATTTCCACAGATTTATGGATAACAAATGTCACTGTGATCTCAGTTTTTAACATTTGGGATATTTTGCAACAAATATCTCTCTCTTCCTTAATTTGCAAAAAGACTTGGTGAGATACATTTCAAGGATTCTCAGTTTTCTATCTGCATAAACCATAAAGGGAAACCTGGACAGTTTTGCATGCATGCTGCTTGAATGGCAGTTAAATCTAAGAGGTTCTGAATGACTTTGTGGAAAGCTTAGTGGCATCTGGGAAGGTGCTGTTTGGCACTTTGTAAACGGTCTGAAAGGTGTCACTCAGTACAGGAAAACAACATGCATGTGGCCTAGTTAAAGACAGATATTTTGCACGTGGCAGCCATTTATTATAGTAATCAGTCCCATTCCACTGAGTTAGGAACAGCAGTTAGATTAACTGTCAAATTCAAATTGGCATGATTTTAGTATTTAATTGTACATCGTTATATGTATGGTTACATTACATAATTGTATTCATATTTGAGTGATAATACATCATTATTTGCTAACCTTCTGAGAGTTCAAGTTTTATAACAGCTGAAAATAGGGAAAACATCAGCATACTGTTGAATTTGTCAGGTCTGTGCTGATTGCCAGACGGCTTCAGCTTTCTTCCTGTCTTTGCATATATGAAGCACTAGTAGCAGTATTTGCTTAGCTTCTAATTTTGGTTTGCTTTTTGTGTTTTTTCTTTCTCTCTTGGTTGTGCCGTTCTCCCTCCCGTGACACTGTGCTCACTCTTTCCGTGCATCACCTGTGACACCCCCCTGCTCCGACCATTCAGCTGTTGGTGAAGGGGGTACATGAAACTCTGGTAGCTCAGAGAGTTGTTCCTGCTCTCATTACTCTCTCCAGTGACCCTGAAATGTAAGTTTCCTGTCTGTCTTACATACCTAGCATCCCTCTTAATACTTTAGGAAGAAATAACCATCAGTTCTGTTTCTTATTCCAGCTGAATAAAAATTGAATTACTTTTAAAGAAATGTAACTTTTAAATCACTTTTTTGTAAATAAAAAGGCTTACTGAAACACCTAGAACTAAACTGACAAAACTGCTGAATAAACTTTAAATAGAAAACTTAAATCAATGTCATTTTTTTATATTTAATCATATTTTCCATCTTTAAATTTGCTTTCTAGCAGAAAGATGAATATTAATATGTTCTGTAATGCTGTGTCAGCTTTAATACTGCAAAACTAAGTATCACCAGCATTACTGATATGCAGAATAGTTTTGACTGTGTCTAATTTCTGATAGACAACCATAGTACTTCATTTCCTGGACATTCTGATGTGGTATTTCTTTCAAGCTAAGGAGGGATGCTTTTCTCATCTCACTAACAGGTCGCTACTAATAAATGTTACAGCATGAATAGAGTTTCTCTCTCTTTAAATAGTGTTAAAGTACTGTCTGCTTGACTAAACGAGAAAAACCCCAAGAGTGTGCCTGCCCATCCTCAGTCACAGCTAACCCAGTTCTCCAAGTTTACCCAACCATTTTTTATTGCATGTTGACTGGTTTGCAGCTGGCTCTCCGAGGCATGAGTGAAGCCTTAGTTGCCAAGCGGGTTTCTCCGGCCCTTGTTACCTTGTCCAGGGATCCCGAATTGTGAGTTTCAGACTGAGACCTTGAGTTAATCCTGTCTCTCTTTTTCTTGGTCTGCTTTTTCTGATTTGTCATGACTAGAAACTAAATGTAACTGAAAGTACTGAATTTAAAATTTTGCTTTCTATTTAATCAATTTGATTCGTAAAGCTTAATACATCTTAAAAGACTTATTTTTCTGTTGTAGTTCAGTAAGGATTGCAACAATTCCTGCTTTTGGGACCATCATGGAAACCGTTACTCAGAGAGAGGTAAGACGCCCACTGTCAGGCTGTTATTTTTGTAGCATAAAAGTGGGTGGTCATTGATAAATCCAGAAATACAGTAATTTATTAATAAACTTAGAGGCAAAAAAGAAGAAAAAAATTCTAAATTATTTTTTCTTATGTTATCCTCTTTCAAAATGCTCTCCAGTTTTGCAAGGTTTTTTTCTTTTAAACAAACCAACCTTCTTTTAACTAATGAAAATGTTTCCTTTTAAATATTAAAACAAACATAAACAGTATGTAGAGGGGGAGACCTGTGATAGAAGATGGGAATCCAGTGCTCAAAATATGTTTTAAAACATTCTCCCATACAGTTAAGAAACCTAAGTCCATCATTTCCAAATAAAACAGCTTTACTTTAAAATGCTAACCAAAATGTCGTGGTGGGATTCAGTTACCTCCACGTTACATATATTGTACAATTTTTAGATGCTTTAGAATATTGTCCTTGGATTTTGACTACTTTAGGAGGGCACAAGTTACTTGTGGTTCCTGTCATAACTACTGGTTTAGCCTGTGATGTTCAAGACATCATAGTGATGTAACTGAAATAATCCTTGAGGGGAATATAGGTAGGCAATTCCTCGTTGTTTTTTAAATTATGTAACTGTGGTAATAAATCTCAGTTCTGAAAAAGACACTTGAGATTCTACTGTAAGCTCTATTTTGGTTTATACAGTAACTGTAGAATCAAGTGTCTTCTGAAAGTCCTCACAGCTTTTTTCAGAGCTTTCATTCTTTCTGTAATTTCAATATATTCTAAAAGAAAGTGCTTGAGGAAATGTGAGTAAGAAGTCAGTGATGATTTCACAAGTATTTGAAAGATGGACAAGTTCCAATTTTGTAACTTGGAATGCCTACCTATAATCAGTTCGAGAAGAATATTGTTCTGTTACACAAATTAGTGTATCTTTTGCAATAACTACAGTAAGCCTTAAGAGTACAGGGGTGATATCACCTTCCAAAATGTATTAGAAAATTTTATTTTTACAACTTTGAATGCAAATTAAATACTTATGTCATCTTACAAATATTTGTATTTTAAGTTTTTCTAGCCTTTAGTTGATGAAATCTTTCTAATTCCATTGATTTTGTGATGCTTACTTTTGCATGTCTGTCTTCTGCAGAAAATTTTTCAGTGTACTGAGATACATTACCAAAAAAATAACATAAATTGAGTTCTAATTAAGCAAGGAAACTCCAAAGATGTTAATATTAAGATACTAATTTTAATAGTGGGTCAAAAAATTTAAGTCTCAAACGTGAGGAAACCTCAAGAGCAAAGACTGGCTGTATGGAAGCACCTGTCTGTAGTTAAAGATAGATCAGATTAAAACACTGGTAAGTGTGCTTTAAAATGTAGAGCTGTATCAAAGACTTTGGAATATCTTGTCAGAAAAAAAAAATTGTAAATGAACAGAATGTCCAAGGTTTATCTTCTGAAATATGGTAGGTTATAGATGTACTCTGAACTGACCGTAATGGTTTCTAGCATCTTCATTCTTTTGTTTACTTTTTGTTTCTCTGTGAATGTTAAAG